GAGAAATGAAGGGCGAAAGACCAATTAATAGAAACCATATCTGAATCCAACCTTGGAAGTATATTTGAGATTTCTACATTATACTCCATAATGGAAGCAATATCATATAAAATAAAGCCAACATTGAGAAACACTTAGATTAATCTTTGTAACTGCATCTTCTCCCTAGATTGGATAGAGTTTTGAATATTCCAAAATCAGAAGAGGAGCCACAGTTCAAGAGATACATAAAGAAACCTTGGAGAAAAATGTCTAGTCTCTAGAACTTAGAGTTACAGAATTATAACTAATTCTAACAAATTTGAAAATGAAATACCAGAATCAAAGGAGCATTCAGTGGTATCATATTTCTACCTGCGTAATTGATATAGAAAATCAAGTTGTGGAAGGTACCTTTGCAGCAACCACAGTCCTAGCTTCATGTTCAACATGTGGATTTCCGGATCTTTCAAAAGGTGCCAACATGTGCTAAATGAAAGAAAAAGAAATATTAGAATCATCTTCCCCAAATTTGGCCTATTAATTCCAGAGATAAAAATCACTTAGCTTATTGATTGTTTAGCTGCTTGTGCCAGAGTAGTGGCTTTAGATATTTTTCTTTCAAGTGAAATTACAGTTTTACTGTAATACATTTTATGACATCTTATAACATTGATATGGTGTAGTAACTAGATTAGTTGTGTTCATGATCTCAAAACCAGGACAGCCCTTAGAGATTATCTTTTTTTTTCAAAGTGGCTTTTACATACATGATCACTACATTTCATGTGAGCCTCCAATAACTCCTCTGTAAGAGAGATGGAAAGGATGCTACTAACTCAAAAGAATATGTAGGCCCAGAATGGATGTGGGACTTGCCCAAACTCTTCCACAAGGCAGAGCGAGGACCTTACCTCCCATGCTCTCTGCATCCTCTTTTCTATATCTATTTCATATCAATAGCACCTCCAAACACTTTGCTCAAACACTTCTGAGGAGAAAGAGTCACAGCTGCTCTTTCTCCCCAGTCTTCAGCCATCATTCTTAGTAACTGAACCATCCACACTGATGACCAGAAAATTTCTCAATAGCTCTCACTCTCAGTTCCATCACACGTTAGCCACAGTTTGGATTTTCTCATCTCTAAGAACTGCTCATCTCTAAGATCCCTAGTCAGTTCTCCTTTTCTGACATAATCTCTTCACTTTCCTCTCCCATCCCCACATATCGACTCAGTGTGCCTTTTTCCATAATCAGTCAGTCAAAAGAATACCAACTGAGAACCTACTGCATGCCGGCCTGGGAAATCAGTATAAGACCAGCTAACCACGGGCCGGACGCATATTGAATTTCCCCTCTCCGCCTACTGCTTTCTTCAACCACCTGGTCAGTTAGCAGCTCCCTATACACGAGTCCACACCTGCTCTGAAAGCCTCAACTGTCTCCCAAGCAATGGACAGTCATTTCAACATTATCCTCTCCAGCATCCTAAAATCCTTCAGTTCATTGATCATCATCATTCCAATGCCCAAATCAAGGTTGCTTTATCATTGACATTCTCTGCTCTCAGACTACCTTGCTGCTGGATAAGATCATAAACTATGATGACTAGTGCCACCACAAATTCAAATTCTCCAACTTGATTTAAGACCTTTAAATTACTTCAAAAGGCCTACAGGGAACCAAAAATGGATGGCTGTTTTAAAGATGCACATTTTGGTTTGAAACAAGATGGCAATTTATAACCACATCAACTAACCAGGAACAGAATAGTAATGAGCTCAGTGTTACTTTTGGAGCTCAGATCAAAAGTTCCCAAACATGACTGGCTTTAAGAAACACCTGATGAGAATTTTTAAAATACAGAGTCCCAAGTCCTACTTCATATCTACTGGATCAGAACCTCTGAGGAGTCTATTTCTAAAGCTCCCTGAGAGATTCTGGTGCAGCCAATCCACAGGCTGACATTATGGTCCCACCGGTCTATGCTCTTGATCGAACTTTTCTCCAGGACACAATGAAAGGGATTTTTCACTGAAGAGGAGTCTGGGCTGTATGGTTTGTCTACATATTTTACTTCCTCTTCTTCTTCCTCTACCTGAACCTGAAGCCTGGCAATGTTGTCTTTTGCTTCCACTTCTTCTCAGTGCCACATATGGCTCTCAGAGCTCAACACACTGATACAACTTGGGAGCACAATCCCTGCCCAGATCAGCTGTGTGAGTCTAGGGTTCCTGCCAGTCTAAAAATGACTATGGTGGGTGCACATCCTGCTCATTCCACCTCTGCCGACATTAAGAACAACTTCTCTTAATTTTCCCACTGACAAGGACTGGCTGCTTGCTCTTTATGCTCCGCTGCCCTCTTTCCTCATTTGTAATGACTTTATGTAGCCAAAATAAATGTTTCTTCATTTCTGCCCTTGTAGCAGAAGTAAAAGCAAGATGAACATCACATCTTTGCTGGACTAAACACTTAAATACATTTGTTGCTGCAGTGGCCTCTGTGGACTCTGCCAAGTGCAGCTTATGTCACTGTTTTGAAGCATCTTTATGGTCATTGAAAAGATCAAGCACTACCTCCAATGATGGTAAGATCCAAATAGCCAGTTCCAGTAACATCCTTGAAGATGAGTCATAGTCTGATTAGTTGATTTATAATAAATCTCCCCCACATGTATTTTGATAAAAGTAGACTTTTGGGGATTTTTTAAGTTTCCTACCAAAGCTTTCCTTTTTATACTTTTCAGTTGCCAAATTATACAAAATTATAATTTTCCTCATTTACTATGAATATGATTGACTACACAGCCCTTAAAAAAGTGATCTGCAAATATAGTTACTTGACCCTAGTTCCATATACACACAAAAAATAGGTAATACTCTAAATGCTGTCTTGTCTTGTCTTTTTTCATTGAATTAAAAAGGTTTCATACAGGTCAGCATTGCTGGTGCCTCCTCACTTTCATTTCTATAACAATCTTCTTTATTATTAATAACAGTGATGGCAATAAAAGTAATAATAATGCCTGCATTTCTTACAAGGGCACAAAGGTCTTGGCCCTGGGTACCAACATGCACTAAAATATACAACAGATGCTGTGTATTTTTTATATATATATGTATCTTTTTTTTTAACATCTTGAATGTCTTAAACAATTTTCCTTTAGTTACTATGGAAGTTCCTAACAATCCCAGTTAGTAAAGACAAGAGAGTGGCCAAAAAAAAAATTAAATTTTCCTTCTTGCCTTTTGTTCTTTTAACAGAACAGCCTCACATTTTCAGTCTTTCTAGTCTCACCATTTTTGGTGTATCATGTCCACTACTGTGGGAGAAGGAGGGAGAAATTTAGGAAGAATAAATTACTCCCTTCATTAGTATGCAAATAAATTATTTATATGCAAATAATGTGAGCAGCACTGCAACTGTGGTTATAATACTTTGTCTTACAAAGAAATCTTTTAAATTCATCTGCCTGAAGGGAGGAAAAAAAAGCTTTTTATTATTATCCTACCAAACTTTCTACTAAATTATTTGGGCCAAAATAACTCTGCATCTGATGCAATCTGAACCAGTATTATTAGACATATCTTTAATTGTGATTAAAACACTTCAGTTCAGTCTAATTACCCTTTGCTTCAAGGACATCTAAATGTCCTTAAGGACAGATAACGCTACCATCATCACTACCATCATTAAGTATTTGGATTGAGTTGAAAATTCATTTTGGTTAATAATATCTGATGCTAAAGAAGTCATTTATTTGAAAGGCATAGAAGACAACTTAATTCTACTGTGTACCAAGTCTTACTTTGCCATGAATCTGTAGTTCAAGGTGCTTACTCTACTACCCCCAAACCTTTGGACTATCTTTATTTTCAGTTCATCCCAAAACTCTTGAAAAAAAATCTGTTACTTACATGTGGTAATTCTCTACCTACAAGAAGAATAAGGAGTCTGCTTAGGCCATCCGAAACAGTATTAGGAGGCCTCATCTTGTTATTTGGCTAGTCCACCCAAAAGATGCCTTAGTTTGCAAGGTCTGCCGTAGCAAAGTACCACATACAGATTGAGTGGCTTAAACAACAGAAATTCATTGTCTCATTTTCTAAAAGCTAGGAGTACAAAATCAAAGTTTTGGCAAAGTTGTTTCATTCTGACAGCTGTGTCCAAATCTTGCATGCCCCTGTGTCCAAATCTTCCCTTTTGATAAGGACAACAGTCATATCCTTAGGACCCACTATAACCATCTCATTTTAACTTGATTACCTCTGTAAAGACCCAATCTCCAAATAAAGTCACATTCTGAGGTACCAGATTTAGGACTTAAATACAAGAATTTGGAAGAGGACACAATTCCACCCATAACACTCCCTAACACTCTTGCATTTTGGTTTTAGGATCTGCAAAGATGGGTTCCACTGGGATAATGACAAGGGTCAGAATGCAGCCCAAGTGTCCAGTCCCAGCCTCTGGATGGCTGTGAGACCTCAAACAAGTCACCCAGTCTCCTTAAGCTCCATTTCCTCATTAGTAAAATAAGAAAGATAATAGTTCCTTCCCAAAGGGTGGCTATGAGAATTAAACCATCAACCATGTAAAGTGCTTAGCCCAGTGTCTGGCCCATAGAAAGTACTCCTGATACGTTAGTTATTATAAGCAGAAATTGTTAACCTAAAATGATCAGTCTAAACTGAAAAGTAAAGCTCACAAATCCAATGGTGAGAGAAAACAGTTTCTACCTTTCCTCTCCAACCAAATTACATCCCCCTCCAGCTAAGGCTGCCTTTTAGATTAAGGCAGACTCTCAGAGTTAAGCTCTCAGGACAGTGGGCTTAGAATTACAGTGGCTGATCTCCACTTTACCAAATTTACTGACCAAATGTCCCACTTTACATGGGATCCTCTATACTGAGATCTTATGCCACAGAGCTTTCTTCTCACAGCATCTGCATTCCCATAGCTCAGAAAGTCAGCTCTACTCTAACATAACTTACTTTCAAGCAGTTCATATTTTCTCTTTGATTCAGCCAAAATTAGATTACCAGTCTTTGTGTGTGTGTGTATATATATATATATATATATATGGCTATTGTTGAATTTTTTCCCCTAAACCTTCCTTTACAAATTCATTAATATTCATGGAGTTTATATATTAAATTTACATAAGTCTAGGATAAGAGGGAAGTCTCTGCTCCCAAGATTCTAATCTTATGTTAGGAGGCTCTGAGATTTGTTATAAATACCTGCTTGTATTGTTTTGTTTTCATGTTTGGCTTATCTCTTGGAGCCAGGAATAAAAACAGAAAGATCCATGCAGTGGATGGGTCTCTGACCACCCCAACAAGACCCTTTCCTGCTGCATCTCAGGAAATGGTGAAATTAGCATAGACAAACACTACTCAGCCTGACATGCTCAGGAGATGTGTTTCCTGAGGGAAAGTCTACAACATCATTAAAGCATCCAGGGCTACATTATGATTTTTGTG